AAAAAAGAGGAAAATAAGTAATGCTTCAATAGTCTTAAATTCTTTTATTCTGCTTCTTTTTGGGACCAATTCAGTGACTCCTACTCTCCTTGGAGAGCAGGTGGTCCTAGGGTACAACTCCTTGCTTAGAATCCTATTTTCAGGATTTTCATTCCACTATGGGGAGATAGCGTAGAATCCACAGATGGTCACAGGGGCATAACCCATGTGTAATACAGTCATTCCGGTGACCTCAAAGGAGCACATTATTTATATCATTCTATGTGAAAGAAGTTGCCATAATTGTGGACTCCCCTGGTGTGACTAAAACTAAAATTTGCTAAACCTCTCTGGCAGATTACTTCTCAGAATAAGGCTGGCTGGAATTATGTAAGATCATTAGGTCAGTGGATATTTATTTGTCCTTCAGACAAAATGGATATTTGTCCCAGAGCGTGATTTTATTTTGATCCACTTTAATATAATAGCTGAGGAGGATTTGGGTATGTACATGGAAAAAATCATTGAAGGTAGAGGCAGAAAGTCTGGGAGCATGGTCAGACAATTGGAAGGACTAGCGACGAGTGATGACCAGGACCCAGAAAAGGGATGATGGCGTCAAAGCTAATGAGAGGCTTGGCAGAGAAAGAAACTCTAGGACTTCCAGTCAGCTGAATATGGAATTCAGAGAATGAGAAAGCTGATTCAGAGATGGTCCTATAAAACATGTGCAGAAACTATTTTAGAGCAAATAATGTTTAAGCTCAGTTAGAAAACTCTCTAGTTTAATAGATGTCCTACTTATTTTTTTTTTCCAAAATGAAAATAATCCATTTAAGGAGAGCAATTGGTAGTTTTACTTGATGGTTATGATGAGCCATTTTCAAAATGATCAATTTTACCTTGAAATAGTGCAATTACATAAAATATCATGCTATTTCAGTGATTTCATTAGCTATGACCACTGAAAGGAAGCCAAGCTACTCCAGCCCACATCCAAGTTACTACACCTTCCTGGCAATAGCCTGTCCTAATTCAGTGTCAGTAGGCAACCTACTACAGTCCTGAAACTCAGCTTGGCAAAGTGTGCAGAAAGACTCTCCACTCGAGCCCCACAATAGCCTGGACAAGTTTCTGAGCTCAGGTAGGTTTCATGCTTCCTGGAAGGCAGCATAAATAATGACAAGACCTCTTGGTCATGGGTTTTATGGCACAGGCACCAGCAAATACCATGTGCAACTGAAGTTCCATACAGTAATAAAACTAAGCTTAGTCACAGTAGAAACAACGAGTACATGGAAGTTCCCTGGTACCTTATCTCTGTCTGTTGGTGATAACTATACATATACAGATGATTAGGATGCTTCTAAATGTTTTCCCTTTTTTAAACCTATGCAATATATGTGTGTATAGTATACATACTACACATATATGTGTACAAATATATTTCTATGTGTTTGGTGTGGGCTAGCTTATGCACAAGGTACTACTGATATGACATAGAAGTGGCAATGCCTATATGTTTATCAGGTAAATACTACTGATCTCAAGAAAGTGGGGCAGAAGTCACTATACCCGTAGCTCTGCCTGTATTACTCATCCATGGTCTTCGAACCTTTTATAAAAAGCAGGTTCTACTTTCACAACTTAAAAAATATATATTTTAAATAAAGTTGGCATGTGAAAAAATAAAATTGCTGCCCCACATTTTCCATGACCTGGATATTTTGAGAATCTAGCAAATAAATTCAGAAATCCTTTAAGCAAAGAAACTGTCACTTGGTCCAAATGAAAATTAACTACCTGTTGAGTATCTTTCAAGGCAAACAGATCTGCCTAAGTACCCAAGCCAGCAATTATGAAAAGACGGGGAGCCGTGGGGGTCCTGAGGATTCCCATCAGTCATCACTCATTTCACGACTCTGCTTGCCAGCTCCATTCGGTTTCGGGAATTGCATGGGGTTTAGGGTGTGACCTCTGTAGAGGTAACTGGAGCGCTCACAGAGAAATCCCCAGCCATGGTGCTTATTTCCTTCTTGGCTTCTATGCTTTATCACGCCCTTGACTGGGACAAAGCAATGCTTAACTGCGTTCTATTTTATTGTGTAAAACTGGAACATAAGGCTGCAGAAATGATTATCATGTTGCCTTTTAATAATGCTCCATTTCTCACCCCTCTATCAGGCTAATCTAAACATGGAATCCAAAGGCAGGCAGGGCCCAACTCATGTCAACTCAATGTTGGCCATTCTCAGCAGTAGTCTCAGTAGGTTTTGCAGAAAATGATATTTCTACAGGCATATAGTTTTATGTCTTGTAAATGTGGCTTTTCAGACCAGGGCCAGCCTCTTTGCCTCTATTCTTCCTGAGGGCCATTAAAAGGGGGACACCATATACCTAAACTGAGTTGAAAATCCCTGGAGCATGGGCCTTCCACTCTTTTTAAGCCCAGGACTGTCCCATGCAATGCTCAATTAAAAAATAAAATGCTACAGGAAGCAGATGCAATATTGAAGCCATTAAATATGTAACTTTTTGCTCATTTTTAATGTTTCTTTTTTAAGTCCAAGTCCTAGAGGTGTTTGCTTTTCTCAAAGAAATATTTGCCTTGGTCATATATCGTTCTCCACCATAATGTAGGACTCTAAGACTTTTTTTAAATTTTGAACCATTTCCAAATGTTCCAAGACTCCTACAGCAGTCAGTACATCATCAATTTTCATTCCAGGGGTTGACTTGTTACTTCAGTTGGAGCTATTTGAATTGGCCCCTAGCCACCTGTACCCTAAATTTTCTCTGGGCTGCTTTGAAGCATTACGGAGAAATATGAGATGGTAGTTGGTGGAAATAGTCCTTCATCCCAGCAATGGCAGCTGGGTAACTGACTGCGTGGCCAAGTGTTTGGCTCAGTCTAAGGAATGGAAGGCACCATCCAAAGCCAGATTTTAGTCTGTTTGAAGGATTATATTTCTGTCATCACAACATCTCCTTGACAGTTCCACCAATTGAAAAACTTCTAGCAGAAGCCCAGTGATTAAATTCTCCCTGAGCATAATTTTTTCCAGCTTCTGGAAACAATCTACTGCAATGCCTCCTCCCCTCACCATAAAACCCAAAATATATTTCCATTCCTAAGACTGATCTATGGGAATAGATTGCTCGCAACCAACCCTTCCTCCCACAGCTGAAAATAATGCCAGCCGTTTGGTTCCAAAACGACGAAGGAGGGACATAAGCCCCATCCACTGAGAGGTTATTCCTACTTAATAGTATATCATCTTTGTACTTTCAAAATAATAGGCGACCAAGGTGCGATTCAGATCAGCAGCACGTCGCTGTTGGACCTTTAAATTAAGCATAGAGAAACGATCATATGTGCTCACATGCAGAAATAGTAAGAAAGCATGATGCTTATGTATAAGAGTGAAGCGAAACCCTGATCACCCACTTCCATTTCTGACCTACACCCACGCCATGTAGTCATTTTCACCAGAAGCTAGAAAGCTTCGTCTCCTACTATTGTAATTGGCACAATGTCCCTGATGGAAGTACCTGTAAGTTTCAACCGATCTGTGGCAGGATGAGAAGCTACAATCCCACTGCCAGAGAAACATTCCTGGCTGCACTCCCACAGAGGTTTGTACTAAGAACTTTCTGGTAGAAGAAGATAGAGAAAGCAATAGATTACCCCGTACACGTAAAATGGGGCTACAGTGCTACCAGGTATGACCTTGGGAGCTGACCAGGAAGAGGTGGAGGCATCCATCAGAAAGGGCCATGCATCCTGGAAGTCTGGCAGGGAAACTCACACTGCAAGGCTTTGTCCTTGGCGTAGGGCGAACTTGGGGTAATGAAAACCAGAAACTTAGAAGGAAAACCTAAATGGGCCCCTCTCACCGCTGTACCCGAGCGTCTGTACTCATTAGCCTCTGTGCAAAGTTCCAGCGACTGTTTTCTTACTTAAGTGAGTTATTTTGACATGTGTTGCTACTTTCGCTTCTGCTGTTTTATTTCCAAGTCCATTAGCCTGCTTTCCATTATCACTCACAAAAGCCTAGAAGTGAACGCTGGCACTGAGCTCCATTTCCTGTAGCCACAGTTCCCACACGCGGTTTTCTGCTCTGCAGTTGAAACAGCACTTAAAGTTAAGTGCTTCTGCAGACTAGCTACGGGGCCGTGGCTCAGTCCATGGCTCACCTCTATTGCAGCAAAAGGCAAAGATGGCTACCCCTGGGCAGTACGGAGCTGTGCAAACAGCCCAAGCTGAACTGACCTTTGAGGCCATCAGTAACAGGCCCGCAAATGGGGCCAACCCTGGGTTATGTCTCTGAGATCCCCCCGAGAACAGGAGACCCCCATGCCACCTCACCATACCTCAGAGATACAGTGCACACGTTGACATTATTCATGTGGCAACTCCCAGCTCCCAGATGATGAAAAAGGAATGGGCATGGAGGGGTGACATGCAAAAAACTAAGTCATCCTGGTCTATTTAGTCTTGGAAATGGAAGCAGTTTTACAGTTACACTTCTGCAGGACAACCAGAGGGTTTCAAAGACCTTCAGACAGTCTTGTGGTCTTCAAAGACTGAATGTAGAGGGAACAGATTGTATCCAATTTTTTTTTTTCTGGGTAGTTACAGGCAAAGTGGTGCGGTACAGGGGAAGGTGAATGCAGAGGGGAGAAGGGAGCAGTGTCATGTATAGGAACATCCTTTGAATCTTTAAAATAAATGATACAGGTGAACACAGAAGTTCATGCTACTGCCTGGAAGCAATAAAGATCAAATTTTGTGGAACTCATTTTCCACCCATCTCCAGGTATCCTGCCTCGTTCTCTGTGGGCTATTCTGTTCTGTTGTACATCTCGGTAGCCCTTTAAAACCGGTGGCATGGCCTCAGATGCTTGCAGGAGAGAGACAGATTTATGGATTCCATCAGCTTCTTCCAGGGGAGCTGCCCGATCGCCAAGAGGGCCCAGGTGATACGCTCGTTCAGGTTCTCTTTGCCCATCTACCAGGGTCAGACAGTGGTTTCCAGGTCCTCATGGCCAATGATCTTATAGTTCTGACGGCTTTCTAGGTAAGCAGCCAAATCAGGGTCCCCCGCCTGCTGAGCTCTGTCTTGAGGTGTCTTACCCTGCAGGCAAAAAGGAAAGAAACAGACACACCTGGAGTGAGACTTTTTTTTAAAGATCCACAGAAACAGAGATACTCAAAGGCTACTCACTTGTAAGGATCTTTTTTTAGAGTTCACAAGATACTTTTCAATCTATTACCTGATGGAAGCGAGATACATAAGCTCAAGAGAAAGAGTCCAATCCCAGTAGATTCAGTCATGATGATTATATGTGATTCTCTCACCTAGCATCAAGTTACAAAAACGTAAAAACAGAGGATCTCTGAAAAGGATGAAGCATAGGGATAGTGCTTTGTATGGTAAGATCTCTAGAACATAATATTGGGTGAAAACTTAAGTCATACACTAGCATGTACAGTCTGACTTTAACAACTTAAAATAATGAGAAAGAAAAATAGACTTATTTACATGTGAAGTGAGATCATTAAAAATTTAATAACATTGGTCGAGAGTGTAGAATTTTCTAGCTATTTCTACTTTCCTGTATTGTTTGCACGGCTCAAGTTTTCTATGTGAGAATGAATTCTATTTATAATCATAAAAATAATACAGCTGTTTGTGATTTGGAAAAATGCACACACATACATCGAAACTTAGAAAGAAGACACAGAGCAATCTGCTCAGGGGCCAGGTCTCCAGCCATCTTTTGTTTGTCCTCATCTACATATATTCAAATTCTTCTCTGCCACCCTCTGTGTTAAGTGGCTTGTCTTTCCTTGGAGTCTCCCCAGGCTGCTTGAAAATTCTCAGAGCTGATCAGTCTCCTCTAGGGGGTTGATTGGTATTAACTCTGCTCTCTCTCACGGGCTACTTTCTCTCAAGGTCAGTGCTATGCAGCTATCCCTCCTCCTTTATGCCAGCTCCAAGCTCTTTCCTTGACTGCTCCGTAAACTGAAATATCTCCTGGTGTAGCCTGACCTCCCATCTTGGAAGTAACCGGAAATCACTTTGGCCCCCCCAAAATGGTGCTGCATAAACCACAGATGTAAAGCTACCCTGGGCTAAGCAGATGAAGGAGAAATCCCACAGGGTCTTCTCAAAGGCCAGGTCAAAGTCTGTGAACATGAGCCTGACCCCTCTCCCAGGGCTTTGGATCTCCCCTCCCTGCAGCAAAGCTGCTGGTTTTCGGAAGGAGAACCCCAAGTCCCAAGGCCAGCGCGTCCTTCAGAGGTTTCGAAAGCCCCATAGGCGAGCACACACCCTCCCTTTGTGCTTATACATTTAAACTGCAGTTTCTCTAAATGAAGCACTTTATTTTTTCCTCCTTTTTCCAAAGCCCCCCGCACTTCCATAGGCACAGGAAGGACGCCTCTGCCGTGGGCACAAAGGAAGGCAAAGCGCCTGCGATTCTGCCCAGTGGGTGGATGTTTGCACTCACTCATCACGTTACCTTGGAGTCCGTCTTTCTCAGAGATGCTCCAGCGTCCACCAGAAGCTGGCACACGGCCCGGTTCCGCTGGCAGGCAGCCTTGTGCAGGGCAGTCTCACCCCTAAATCAAAGATGAAATGGAAACCACCCATAAAGGGGCTGGGGGCCGGGGTAGAGGTGGAGGCTGCTGGGAGGGGGTGGTTTCCTCCTGCTCCTGATGCTCGGTGCTCCAAGGGCTCTTTCTCTGCCTGTGGCTGAGACCTGGCTGCCGGCAGGGCCCTTTGGGGGAGGTGGGGGAGGGGAGCCTAAAGTGCCTTAAGTCAGTCATCAGGTAACTCCAATATCTGACTCCAGCCTTTTTTTGTAAAAAGCGTTGGTTAATTCGGCTGGACGATTTTGTTGTCAACTACTAATGTTTGATCTAGGCAGGACTCTGTGGCACTATTAGACTGTGTGTGGATGTATTGGGAACATTGCCGAAACCGATTTGGCTCAGTGGTAGAGCGTCGATCTGCGGACTGAAAGGTCCCAGGTTCGATTCCAGTCAGGGGCATGTACATTGGTTGAGGGCACATCCCCGGTAGGGGGTGTGCAAGAGGCAGCTTGTCCATGTTTCTCCCTCATCGACATTGCTAGCTCTCTAGCTCTCTCCCTTCCTCTCTGTAAAAAATCAATAAAATATATTTTTTTAAAAATAAAAACATTGGGAACAGCGCTCTGTATGGATACACTGAGTGTGAGGGATGCTAGATGAAGCTCAGAGGGAACAGCGATGGAGAACCAGAGCCCCTCAGGCCCATCACAGGAATAACTCCTGGGAACTCAACTGCAAGGAACCAGGGTAACTCATTCTGGCCTACCTACTGGATTCAACCCCAGGGGCAGGTGGAAGGAGAGGGGCAGCCACAGGGGGTCTGGAAGGCACAGAAAGCCTTGGGGAAAGAGCTCAGAACTTGAGCCGTCCCCAGTGGGCAGCAGGCCCGAGACCAGGCAGTCATGTGAAAAGTGGGCATGAGAAAGTGGTTATTTCTGCTCTTTAAATAGGCAGTAAAGGAGGAGGATTTTCCCAAGACTGAAAAGATACTTAATGCTAAAGTGTTTCATGGAAAATCAAATGCAGATCTTAGAGCAGGCAACTGGGGTCAGTGGCAGCCTATGGGATGTCCTATGTGGACAAGCTCCACATCGCATAGCAATGAGCCGTTTCTGTGGTGGCTAGTAACTAGCCCATGGCTACTCCCCTCCATCCCTGTCCTTCATTCTATTTATGTCTGCTTTTCCTCCACCACCCCCACTTTCACTCCCTTCCCCATCCCACTCTAGCCCTGCCCATTCTTATCTCTTTTTTAATTTCTTCGGAGTTCTCTAGTGGTTCTATATGGCTTTCAGGGTTAGATGGTTAGTCTTTCTTTGTTCCTGTTCAGAGAACAGTAGCTATTTTGCTACTCCAGGGATGGGGGAAGCTGAAAAAACACACACATATCAGTTTGGGGATCACTGCATATCCTCATCTAAACTTCAGATCATGAAAACGATTGGAGTTATCATGTTCTCAGTTCCCCAGTGGCTGTATTATAGGCACTGTTCCATTCTGGACTTGGCAAAGAAGTTTCATTACATGCAAGAGAGCATTAGGCTTTAATTTTCTCACAAACCCCAGTTAATAAAAAGTCTAAAAAAAGGTAAATGTGTTTTTTTTTAGACTTCTCAGCCTTCTCAGTGTAGAAGTATATTGCTTGTAGAAACCTCTAAACGATGAATATCAATGACAGTGGGTGCAACCATTATGATACTTGCCATCAACTTTTATTGTGACTTTTATTTTTGATTTAGAAGATCAGCCCCACACAGTTATAAATGCAATAGAAAGTGGATGTTTTATCACTGTCATGAAAATTATCTACTGTATGTCCTAGACATGGCATTTTTCTCCTAGCTACGTCCTGAAGTATAATCTGGACTATGTAATAAAAAGCAACACTCACGTTTCTCTGTCTGCCATATCCAATAACTCAGAAGGTCCTAAACAAGAAGAAAGCAAGATATGCCCATCAAAAATAAGTTTAGAAAAACTATTAATAAAAAAACCTAGAGTTACAATTAAAATGCCTTGGAAAGATGCATAAGAAAGAGCACTTGTGAGAGGGATAATGGGACTGCCTCCTCCCCACCAATCTCCCAATCACCACCAGCTGAGATGTGCAGAAAGGGAGCTACAAAAGAGTGGCATGGTCTCCGCCTTCCTTCCAGAAGCTTTCAATTAAGTCGAAGAAATAAAATCAACTGGAATAGACTAAGTGAGAAATAATTAAGTGGCTCCCTTGGGAGGAAGAGGACAATCGGCTGAAATGCACCAGAAACAACTCTTCACCCTACTAAAGGGATATGGGTACAAATTTCTCCATGAAGTTTTCAGAGCGAGGCAATCACTGTCCTTCCACAGCCCTGCACCAGTTGTCACTGGAACCCTGAATAGGACACTCATGTAAAAAAATTCGGCATTGCGGTTGTCCATGTTTCACTGCAGAGACCACATCTTATATTATGTGTGAGTCTTGACAACTAACCAAACTTCACTATGCTTCAGTTTTTACAACCTGTCAAATAGAGATAAGAGCTATGTAGGGCTATTGTAAGAAGAATGCAATGTGTTCATACATATAAAACATCCTATATAATAAAAGCCTAATATGCAAATCAACCAAACAGCAGAACGATTGGTTGGCGGGGGAGGGAGGGTGTGAGGCTGGTGAGTGGGCAGTGACATGCCAGCCAAGGCTGGTGCCAGTGGGCAGATGGAAGAGATGGTTATATGTGTGTGGGGGTGAGGGGTGTCAGGCTGAGGGAACCTCTGAGTGCACGAATTTTCATGCACTGGGCCTCTAGTTTAGAATAATAAAGATTAGCAATGTTTGTTATTATAGTATTTTTTTCCTCAAGAGTGGGGGGGAGTAAATTAATTTTTCATGCGAATGAGTGGATAAATGATATTTTAAAATTAACGTGGATCCCAACCAAATTCCTGTTTCTTCCCAGAGAAAGATCCATAAATGGAACATGGATTCAAGAGACTGCTTTATGGGAAATGGTCTGAAAAATAAGAGAAAGAAAAATATGGGCGTAGCCATGTCAGTGTTTTTGGGAGTAGAAAAGGAAGTAAAACTTGCAGATCTCCCAACACAAGACTGTAAACTGCAGGGTGAGTAGCCAAACCTTCCAAAATGCAGGCCTGCTGCCCAGTGTCCACGCCATAGGCTCTTCCATTGCATACCCCGGTTCTTAAGGATGCAACTTTATCCACATTGCACTTTATTATATACGATGTGTCTTTTGTCACGTGCATCTTTTAATTTGCTTCCCACACCAAGGCATCCAAATCCCTTTTGCTATTCCTTCCACCTCCCCAGGGCCTCTCTCTTTTCGGACCTCATTTCCCATTAGTCTCCCTGACGCTGCCAGCAGACCATTCCAAATCCTCCAGAGGCCCAGGACAAAGGCTGTGCAGATTTGGGGAGAGCTGGCACTGGGAACTCTTAACAGCACCGTCATCCTGTCCCAGCGGGATGGTGGTCGTTTCTCTTGGGGAACCAGAGGCAGAAAAAGGGGGGTAAAGAAGAAAAAGAAAGACTGAAGGCAGAAACAGGGAAGACAAAACAAGCCATTGAAATAAAAAAAGAAATGCATGAGTGAGATTTCTATCAGGAAACACGGTAGGGGGCAACAGGGTGGGAGTGGGGGAGAAAAAAAACAACAACAAAAGAGCAAACATGTGCAGGGTGGTAAAAGACAAACCACACAAAAGTCCTTTCCAGGGTAAAACCAGGGAGGAGGGGGTGGGTTAAAAAGATGGTTGAAAGGAGCTGAAAAGCAGGAACCGCTGGGGGAATCTCAGCTGGATTCCCTCTGCATCCTCCTCTCCCCACCCTGTCCCTACGGAATTGTTAGCTCTCTTCCTCCTCCTCCTCCTCTTTTCAAGCCTCCAAATGCCCACATTCCAGTTTTTCATAAAGGAAAGCAGCATGTTGTGAATTTGAGACAAGAAATCCCAAAGAAGATGCAGGAGGAAAAAATTCAAGCCTCCTGTGGCTTTTCAGAACACAGCATACATCACATGCTGCCAGGCCTCAGCCCCTTTTAAAGAGTCCTTAGAAGAGAAATACATTGCTGAATGTGGTGGCTGGGAGCATAATCTCCCAGGATTCCTGTTCAGGGGGTGTCTTCCTGATGGGGGACCCCACGGCTCACCATAAATATCCATTGAAGAAGACACAGGAGAGGGGAGAGAAAGGACAAGTAAGCAAACAGGCCACATACAATTTCTATCATGTGCCTTGACAAGCAAGGGCCGCGCTGATTTCTCAGAAGCCTTGTCATTCGAGGCATCTTTATGGTCAGTTAACAGTTTTTAAAATTTAAAACTCATATGAAGCCACAGGAAAGACTTGACCCAAATTAAAAGCAAAAAATCTAAAACTTTAAGAGATTCCGGCTTCAAGGCTAGGAGTGTTTCTTTTGATCTTTAGATTTTTCTTTGCTTTTAAAAGAAGTTTATGTGAATCCAAACTGCTCAGACCTATCTATAGAGCACACAATGGGCCAGGCTTCCCATGTACTTATCTCTGACTTCAAGAGCAGAGATAATTTAAAGGGGTTTCTATCATTTATCATGGATGAGTCATTCTGCAAAGATGATTTCCCCCATATACAGGCTAATATAGATTGCATCAGTAACTAAAAATATTAACGCCAACAACAATAAAAATAGATGAGCTAAAGTGCATAGCTGTTAAGGAGCCTGGTAAATTAGGCTGATTATGTCCAAAGATTTTTATATCCGGATTCCTAAATAAACAGATTGAAGTTAAGCATGAAGTTGGCAATGCCTATCTGGCTGATGAATACTAAAATTAACTCCAATACAGTTTCCACTATTTGACTATAGTGCTAAAAGTTGAAAAATTGCCATTCATCAAAAAGGCAGTGGTCCCTGGACTATAAAGCATAATAATGTTTTATTTTCAAACAGAAGGAATGGATTTGCTTCACTATTTCCACTGTCTTCCTCTCGGTCAATCAGAGATCATGGTGAGGCAGGAGGGTATAAGTTGCCTCCTGTGACCATGGGAACTGTTTGCCCGTGAATGAACTTGGGGTGATTACAGGAATCTGAAGTTTTTTCTCATGAGCATAACTATTAAAACAACTTGTTTACAAGATCTAACCAAGAGAACTGGAAAAATAAGCACTCTCCCTGAAGGAATTAACAAATTCCTTGGTGTCCTTCAGTTTTGATAGAGAACTATATCCTGTGATACAATCTTTGCAGAGATACTGGAGGTGGAAGAGAAACTCATTATCTAATGTCAGGTTTTGGTCAAAGCACTGAGCCTGACATGCTAGCTGGATTTCATGCCAGGCAAAGCATGTGTGTACCCATTTCTCATTGGGCTCAGGAACTCCACCCCTATGAGTGTGGGCAACAGTGGGGAAAGTATTAGAGAAATACCATCTCAAGCCTCATCACTCATGCCCCTGGGAAGACTCAACCGAGGAGAGGGTTTTCCTTTGTTTTTAGTATATGTATCAAATATTGCATGGGACATACTTATGCTAAAAAGGGGAGAAACTTGTTTAAGAACTTGCGATGTTAAAGAACTATCATTGCTAAGCAACCTTAGGACCCAGAACCAAGGGAGATATAAAAGCTGAACTCCAAGGGATTCAGGCAGATCAGTTAAGTAGTTCAAGACATAGAGAAGGCAGAGTCATCATTTACAGGTGAAGAAGATGGAGAGTAGGGGAGGGTGGTAGACACAATTGATCTGTAACTCCTTCCATGAAACAGTGGGGTCTATTCCCCCCTCCCTTCAGTCGGGACAGCTCTGTGACTTGTTTTGACGAACAGAATGCTGCGGAGAGGATTCAGAACTTTCCAGTCCAGCCTCAGGGTGTCCGGAAGCTTTCATTCACCCCTCCTGAAACCCTAGCACCGTCATGCTGTGAAGAAGCCTGAGATGAAAAACCAGGTACAGAGAAAGACTCAGGTGTCCTGGCCATCCCAGCCACCCCAACTGAGAGCCCCAAATATGTGACAGGGTATCTCTCTTCTATACAGATTCAGTCAAAATGGTAGCTGGCTACAGCCTCCTGAGTGAGACCCAGGGAGACGCCCACGGGTTTAACAGATATGGAGAAAAACCTGGAAGTAGGGGAAGTGCTAGTACCTAGTTCTTCAGGAAACACAGCAACCAGAGAGAGGGAGAGAGGGTTCCTAACCTGTGTTACCACTCAGCTAGGTATTAGTGGCTCACCTAACTCCAAGAGGGCACGTGGGTATTAAATAGCCTAAGGATGCAAACAAGCACTCAATCTCATTGGGCAAAGGGCAAACTAGGAAGAAAAGATTGAGAATGATGAAAAAGACAGCAACTAGAGCCAAGCCTGCATGCATCAGCGGTTGTGTGGATCTATGAACCAGGAGGTCACAGTTTGATTCCTGGTCTGGCCCTGGTGGCCTATTGATGATTTTCTCTCATCAAAGATGTTTCTATCTCTCTCTCCTTCTCCCTTTCTGTCTGAAATTTATATATATGAAAGAAAATGGAAAAACAAACAAACAAACAAAAAAACAACAACAAGATGGCAACCTTACAATACCTTTGTAAAGATTCGGTGATATATTTCGTATAAGCATCCGGCATAGAAGTGTGCTTGCTAATGGTAACTGTGTTTTCTGTTTGTAGCTTTGCAATGTGACTTAAACATCCATGCAACTGTTTTAAATATAATTATGCCTACGATGATATTTTTTTTTCTTTAGCCTGCAATTGCTTGAAAACAGCGACTGTATTTTATTTGTATGTGTGTACTGGCCTACAACATGCAGTTATTATTAGGCACTCCACAAATATTTGTTGAATGATTGAATGAATGAAATAAGATGTTTGCTAAATTGAGTTACAAGAAGAGCGGGAACACGTGTGAATGTCTACTATGCTTTCTATTACAGCCCGAATTTGGATGCAAAGTGGGCTGGCCACAGGCTCACTGCTAGGGCTCACAGCAAAGCTTCCAGGATCTCTCAGAGCTAGAGACTATTCCACTCTCTCCTATGAAACAGCCAAGCCAGGCAGACCCCTCCACCCCACCCCCCGATTCCTGTTCTTTGTCCTAGAAACACTATAAAGAAGGAAAGCTGTTATGAATGGTCAAGACGTGGTATTCAACACGTGTTTATGCCTCTGAAGGGCTTTTAGAGGAAGATGCTAAAAACTGCAAGCTGCTTCCAGCAAATGATATAATATCAAATTAGAGATGCAGTAAGCTGCCTGGGAGGTGAGCATGTCCTGCCGCAGAGGACGTGAGGCTACCAGACGTTTCCGAGAGAATCAAGTGTGACTTGAGTTGAAAAGATGAATGAGACTTAGAGGAAAAAAAAAAAGACTAAAAAGACAGGATAAGTACTCTCATTAAGCCTCAGAAAGAATAGCTACAAATACTAGTATAGATTAGCTACTTGCCCCAACCAGTTAACTTCTCAAAACATAAAAGATCTTCCCCAAACAATAAAGCATATTATCCAGCTGCATTGTTTTTTTTTACATTATTTTTTAATTAATACACCCCCTAAATACCCTGTAATGATCTTGATATGAAAATTATTTCTATTCATTGACTGGTTAAGGGTACCCCATGGGTGAATGGCCTACTACAATCCCGCTGTCTCAAGTAATCAGAGAGAGTCAGCTAGAAGTTGGAGAGCATTTCCACCATTCTGAAGATGGCCTGGGTGGAAGGCAACTTCCTAATTCAATCTGTTCCATGGGTAAGTGATCCTGTGCCTACTCACCATGATCAAGGATATATTTCACAATTTCCCCGTTGCCGGTTTTAGCTGCGTGGTGAAGGAGTGAACAGTGGTCTGGTCCCTGAATTAGCAGACTGCCTCCATTTTTATAGCTTTCTATTAGCTGAAAAAGAGACAGATAAAAAAAGAAGCTCAGACTGAGGCCGGAACAAGGAAAACAGCTCACTGGTGATAAAATAAGAACAATGCAGCAAACCACAAATGTGTCTAGCCTCAGAGGACACAGAAACGGCAGAGAGATGAAGTAAGCTTCCTCCATTATGTGATAACTCAAATAGATGGCCAGTGTCTCACTGACTCCCGAGAGGGCATACGAGTGTTGAACATCTTAAGAAAATGGAAATATATTGAATCACTTATTTATTTTTCTGTGTTTCTTTTTCTTTTTCTTGTCTGGGCAGTGGTCCCTGTTCCAAGGGAGTGGAGAGTGGAAGAGAGAATAAGTTTTCCTACTTTGGTTCAGCTTTTCCTTGAAAGAAAGAATAATTAAAGCTCTAGGTAGGATTAGTGTGGTGTCTGGTAGGAAACTCCTTTCCTGTTCCTTAGTTTTTCTTTAATCTCTAATGAACCTAGCTCTATAGAAGCTCCTTCCCATTTCTCTGTGTGAGATCAATGAGCACGAGCACACAGTATACACACACACACACACACACACACACACACACACACACACACACAAGTATGGCTCCTTTCTTCACCCAGATCTGCAGCACAGCCTGTACGCGTTCTGTTAATCACCCAACACCTACTCGACAAGGCTAGAGGTGATTTGCAGGATGAGAAACAGATTCAGAGAACATAGCAGTAGAAACTCAACAGATTTTGCAGCCTTAGAATAAGTTAGCCAATGAGGACACAGTCTATGTTCATGAAATATTAAACATTATAGAAAGTGTAAATGAGTTCCTATTCTCTAAACTATGATATATCAGGATAAGAAGAACTTTTTGGAGCTTCTAAAGTGTAGTTTTAGGATAAATGCCAATCACATAACCCAGCTGGCAATAAGCAAAAGGAATGTGTCTACCACTAAGAAGTTAGAGGGTACATTATTAAAAAAATCAACATCTCCTAAGGTTCAAAGTTCAAGCTTCTATTCAAATCAGCCATAGCACTGCCATGTGTCAAATGCCAGGGAAGCAGATAAAAACAACAGAGCCACTGGCCTCAAAGACCTCACAGTCCATGGAGAGACAGATGTGGAAAGAATTACACCCGGATGGGGAGAACCATGACGGGCTACCATGGGGCACCAGGGAAGCATGAAGTGGGGGATGGAAGACTTCCTAGGAAATAGATTCAAAAAAGAGTGGTTGAATGGAAATCAGACACTTTCACCCTACACAGGGGCAGTAGGAAGAAGTAGCTAGTAGTTTTCCTGTTAAGAGAAAACTAAGAGAATCCTATTCAGTTTCACTGCGTTGTCTCACAGTGACAGTCCTTTCCCTGGAACAGGTCCACAAGAAATTCAGCTCAAGGGAGTAGCACAGACCCAATTCGTCAGCTGCCTTGATTCTGCCTTTCTGTGGCGTTTTAGACACTGAGCCTTCAGTCAGGCTGTGGCATCTCATCAGCCCAGCTGCTCAAGACAGCGTTCCCACTGGGATGGCTCCTGGGTCTTTTGTTTTCTGCTGATTTGTGCATGCTCCCTCTCTCTCTCTCTCTCTCACACACACACACACACACACACACACACACGCACAGCTGGTTTAATATTTAATACTGAATTTGCTTTCTACATGGGATAGAAAAAATGAAAGAATATGGAGAAGAAGAAAAAAGGGAGAAGAAAAATATTAGGGAAAAAAATAAGAAAAAGAGTTAAAAAAAAAAAAAAAAAAAAAAAACAACCACCAAACTTAACTCCCCTGTATTTCATCTCTCAGTAAATAAGGTATTCTTGCATTCTTTCTTAGCCATTTTGGAAATAATTGCAATAGAGAATGGAAAGACAACTGACTGAATATAGTTATTTCCTATATCTCAAATAATTATCCATTAACTATAAAATATTGTGGTGATATACCCACAGACCTGGAAAATTCATTACCTAGACTAAAATCATGTACAAAATAAAGTGAAAAAGGCTTCAAAAGCACAGTTTGCAGAATGTTCTGTCTTAGAAGCTCTGCAAGGGCAGGGATCAGATTGTATTCATGTCTTTATCTCCCAGAATCTAACAGAAGGCCATGCACAGAGGATAGGATAGCATTGGTTTAATCTCGTGCTGGGAAATGGCACTGAACTCACAGGGGCAGTGCTTAGAGAGCATCTTTCTCTTGTGGATAACAATTCCTAGTAACACTATGATCCAATGCACTGAACAGGCACCATTTCCAGGATTATATGTTGAAAGATGACCATTTATCCAGATGCTCACAACTGTCTCACCAATTGTTTTCTGCTAGCGACCTATTAAAAATGGACCAGAGGGCCTGGTTGATATAACTCAGTGGTTGAAGTATCGCCCTATGAACCAGGAGGTCAAGGCTTGATTTCCCATGAGGACACATGCTCAGGGTGCAGGCTTGATCCCTAGTAGGGGGCACGCAGGAGGCAGCCGATGGATCCTTCTCATTGATATTTCTACGGTACTTCTCGATCCTTCTCCCTTCCTTTCTCTCTAAAATCAATAAAAACATATTTTTAAAAATAAATGGAGCACAGAGTGTCTCAGTTTAGTCAACAGTTGTGCCTCAGAAGAAACTATATTCAAGGACAGTGCTTCTCAGCTTTCGTTTAAGGGTTTTGGTTTCTGGATCTGCAATAGCACCATCCCCCACAGGCTGGTGAGGAAGGCACAGCCTGGGCCCCAGGGAGCTGCCCATATTACAGAGCCGATCAATGCCAGTGTGAGCTTTATGTCTGAAAAGGATATGGGACCAACTATAGCTTTTAGAATTGTTATAAACTGTATTATATTTTATAACAAATATTTGCATTTCCACTGTGGCTCTTAAAAATACACAGACGAAGACTATGCTAATAACATAGCCAACATTTTAGAGTCCCTTCCATGTAATAGGAATCGTCAAGAGCTTTGCTTGTTTTATTACATTTGATCCTCACAAAGTGAAAAGAGAGGCAATAGTATTATTCTATTTCATAGATGAAGAAATGGAGGCACAAAGATAAATAGTTGCTCAAAGTCATGCATATAGGGAATGGCAGGGCTGAGATCTGAACGCTGGCAGTCTAACTTCAGAATTGGCATTCATTCCAATTCCCTCTGAACTAAAATTCACCAGAAAACATAAGAACAAATTAAACTGTTTTGGTTTATCATGATTCCCCAAATACAAAACTGTAATAATGTTGGAAGACACAGACTCTGGCCTGAAGAATGTATTTCTGGATGTTGACCAGGTAATTTTTACACATGCATTTATTTCAAGACATGTCTAAAAAGAAATCTAAACTTCCAATATCAGCTTTCATAGAACAGGAATTCTGGGCTGAGCACTGTATCCTGTGGACATGCAGTGATTTTTACTAGTGAAGGCAAATTGCATGGTTATCTTACAGAAACCTTTTGCTGTTAGGAAGCATGGAGATGTAGGAAGGACTCCCCTAATCCTCTCTGTTCAATTCTAAAAAAAAAAAAAAAAAAAAAAAGCAAGCATTCTTCCTCTTCCTACTTAGCCAGCACAGGCAGGGGTTCTGATAAATGACATATGGGCTCATGAAAGTTTGGTGTGAAATGATGTTGGCTTAAAGTTCTTAAAAAATCAGCAAAAAACTTGGTAGGAAGATGTCTTACCTTCATAAGATCACCAGCAATTACTGCCTGCAAAATTGCTGTGAAAGACAAAAGAGAGATGGCTCATTAATAGAAGACCTTCTCCTTAAAATACTAAAAAAGGCTGGATCCATATTTTGCATAAAGAGTCTACTTTTGAGGCAGGGACCAGGAAAGGAGAAGCATGCCAAAGATTGAATCTTGGAAAAGACTAAGATCTTCTTTGTAGCCCTTCCCTACCTGGGCCCCACCCCCGGTATAATTCTAGAGCCTACCAGAGTCCCCTCTGACCCTGGTACAACAAAGAGAGCATGAAATTTGGTCACACAGATTGGGTTCAGATCTTAACTCTGACACAAAGCTGTGGAACACTGAGTGAACCATCTAACCCCTCTGAACCTCAGTTCCCCCATCTGTGAAACAGCAAGTCTAAATCTTTTAGACTCCTGAAAGGATCAATTAAATCATATAAACATTTCTAACTCAGCCACTGAATGCAGAGCAGGTGCCTAATCATCACTGGTTTTTGTTCCCCCATTTCCATTTCCTTCCACTCTATCCTCTTGGGGTTCAAAAATTCAGCAGTAATTTTGTTGGTGCGTTTTGTAATGATAAATAAATATCTACTGCTATGGAAATAAAGGGGACTAGAAAGACTGAAGAGGAATCACGTATATTTTAATTATGTTTTGAAGAAAATAATCATGTGTTAAGCATCTAATTCAATGATGACTTTTACAGAAAGAATTCTAAAAGTCTTGGTTGACCTAAACTAATTGTCATTGGGCAGAGGTGGGTAGAGGAGGGGATAGAAATGTATGTGCATGCCCTGTGGGGTATAGAAGAGGAAAGAGAAAATATGACTGATAAAAGAGGATAGAATATACCTGAGTCTAATGGCAATTATGGTTTCTAAAGGAATTATATGCCATAGATTGGAAATGGTGGCTTTTGAAAAATAAATACCTAAAACTACACCAAAGATAGATTATTCCAGGCTTTAATGTCACAAAAATTTAGAAGAAAATAATGTATTTTTCCAAGTGTCAACTTATAGTTCTTATTTGAGTAGTCTCTCATATATGGTTAGCCAAAATTCAGTATCATGCATCAAAGTACATGGAGCCTTTGACAGTCCTCGAGCAAAGCCCTCCAAACTTTCATATGGAGCATTTACAAGCCCAGAGGGACCAGAGGCAAAGGACCAGAGGCATGTTAAATTCATTCACTGGTCCACGACCCTTTGCCTTCCCTCTGATCAAAGCAGAAACCTGGAAAACTAATGGAAATGATGAGGGCTGCTTGAACACAGAGGCAGAACAAAGAAGAAAGAATAGAGGAAAAGATGGAACAGGAAAGAGGGAAGAATGTTTCCAAAACAAGCTGTACCAACATACTCTTTCCATCTCCCTAAGGCTGTGTACATCTCAATGCACAACAGTTAGTTGTTGGACAGGCTGAAAAGATATCAAAGAGGAAGGAGAAAAGGAGACAGATAAAAATAAGACAAAGGGAGTTAATAAAATATATCAAAAGAACCTAAGATAATGGGTTTCATTCTTGATATTATGGATGGGACACTGGAGTTCAGAGTAAAATGACTCTCTTGGGGCACAGAGCTAGTGGTGGTCCAGTCATCACCATCATGCAGATCCTATGTCCAGTCCAGGTCTCTATCTAGTGCCCTCTGTGAGCTCACAATGCAGAGTCTATAAAGGCATATAGAAAATGAAAGAAAATAGTCTTTATAAGTTACAAAGCTTATAGAATTGTGGAAAAGGCACTAGATTGGAGTCTTAATTCTAATCTCTGTAATTTACTCGATAAGATTAATAGCTGTCCTACTCATCTCTCTGTAGTAAGGATAAAACAAACAAATGAAAAAGCTTTATAAATTAATATGTAATATTAACAGAGGGGTAGCTTTCAGGACTTCTGAGATTATACCTGATAATGGCATGCATGCAAACACTTTAGAAGGAGCCTAGCAACAGGGTAAAGTTGATGTGTGGAGTCAAGCAGACATAGCTCTGTTAATACAGTGCCCGTCAGGTGGAGGCACAGCTGTAGGAGCCAATGAGACGCTGTGTAACTCCAAGAGGTAGAGCCTACCTCAGGGGCAGGGTGGGAGAGGCCGAAGAAAATATCAGTGATTCCAAGTATGAGAAAACTAATCAGCGTGGACTTTTATGCTATAGGATGTTCTCTTCACTGAAGTAGAATACCCATAATAGGAAAGAATTAAGGTAAGGGAAATTGCCTGAGGGGGCAATTAATGCAGAGCTGAAAGTCACACAACTTTTTCAAAATAGCATACAGCCTATGATTTTCAAGATCATATTAAAACCTTTTCCAGAAATTAAAAGAAAAAAAGAGAGAGAGAAATAGAGAAAAAAGGAATAAAGGAGAGAGAAAAGAAAAATGGATTCATTAACTTAAAGCACCTGTGTAATACAATTTGGTGTAAATAATAAATCAAAACAATGAAGGAATTCTCCAGGACCAAGTTTATTTAAGTAGCACTAAAGTGAATGGAAGAAAGAAAGGATGGAAAGAAGGGAGGGGAAAAAGAAGGAGAGAAAGGGAAGAAGGCAGGAAGAAAGGAAGGAAGGGAGGAAAGGAGGAAAGGAGGAAGGAAAGAAGGAAGGAAGGAAGGAAGGAAGGAAGGAAGGAAGGAAGGAAGGAAGGAAGGAAGGAAGGAAAGAAGGAAGGAAGGAAAGAAGGAAGGAAGGGAGTGAGGGAAGAGGGAGGGAGGAAGGGAAGGAGGAAAGAGAAGCCAGCAAGGGATGAGGAAGAGGTTTATTTGCTAAGTTTGGAGTTCAAAAAGAGTTTCTTAGATGAAATACAGCTTAAGCCAACTCTTCCATGGTAAGTAGAAGTAATTAGCAAAGGAGGTTTAGAAAATCCTTGCAAGATAAAGGTAGGATATGAACAAAGACCTGGAAGTTAGAAGTCGTGGTGTCTGAGCGAACCTGCAAAGAGTTTCGTGTGAGCACATCTAAGGTGGAGAGTGATCTCGGGCATTGTGCCACAGTCACAGGGACCACTCCGGTGAGCACCGTTTATGTCAGGAGAAGGCACTTGGACTTATCCTGCAGGGGATCAGACGCTATCGAAGAGTTAAAAATACGTGAATGTTCTTAAGCATACCAGTATGGCTCTGCTCCTTCCCTCCTAGAAACAGCGAGGACCTGCTCCCAGCTCATGTGCTCCAGATTGTCCACATAACTGCCCCTAGATTTTGACCCCAGACTCATTCACAAGCATTGTGATTTATGTCTATTCATTTCCAATGGCCTCCCAGCTTAAAGTCCACATGAGCAGGTAGAAGATCATATAACAGAATCATAACCACGAATAATTTCCAATTGCACTGGAGACAGAAAGCATGAATATTTATTTTAAATCAAGCAATACACCCAAGGGTAGCTATTATGCAAACATTTTTAAGCACAAGGTCCACTTCTGTCTCCTGATTAATGTCCTTCCCCGTGAACACTGTTGTTTAAAATTTCCTCTGCCTAAAGAAAGCCTGTATCCATTAGTCTCAATTCCAGATAATAACCTTGTGAAAGATCGAGCTCAAAAACAAATAATTGAGTTGTTCTGATTATAGTATTATCCTTTATTATTTCTTGAGCTCTGAGCTTGCCTTTTTGCCTTTTTCAAAACTCCTTTACACTGAAGAAACAATGCCTCAAATGCAAAGAAACAAAAGAAGTTAAAATGTTTAACAGAACAAAAGTTTGATAAATCAACGAATAAGTTCCTGGACAATTACGTCACATAAACTTATGTAGTTAGACAGAAATGTAAGGGGGTAGAAACCTGAGAACTGTGTCATTTTTAGAGGTTAGATGTTGAATCACTAGTTCACATGAAATGATTTTTTTTTCCTTCAGTGCCTTCCAATAATTTGCTATCCAGTAAACATCCCAAGACAGAATACTGGAACAGAGAAGTCAAGATGGCCAGGAAGGAATCATTGTCTTCCTTCTCAGTCTCTGTTTCTGAGACCTGGGTTCCTTGAGTCAAGACATCCTCAGACACCCAAGAATGGAAGAAAAAAATGGCCCCTCCCCTGAGATTAGTGTAGAGACAAACCAGTCCACAGGCCCACTGACTGGCCTGCCTGCTCTGGCCATGCCAAACCCCGCCAAGGTTGTGGAAATATAACTACAAAATAAATGCCATCCTCTCAGGGAACTGGCATTTTGGCAAGAAGTCCAATTAGGAAGGGACATATTGTAATTGAATCTAGACTTAGACGGGCTGAGTTTAAGCCATTAACTAGACATAACCTTGGGTTAGTTACCAAGCTCCAATTCTCTCTTTTAAAAAAAATATATTTTATTGATTTTTCACAGAGAGGAAGAGAGAGGGATAGAGAGTTAGAAACATCAATGAGAGAGAATCATCAATCAGCTGCCTCCTGCGCACCCCCCACTGGAGATGTGCCCACAACCAAGGTACATGCCCTTAACCAGAATCGAACCTGGGACCTTTCAGTCCGCAAGCTGACACTCTATCTGCCGAGCCAAACCGGTTTCGGCTGCAATTCTCTTATTAGGAAAATGAAGATCAAGTGGGTTCTTTGGAGCCTCTGCCTTGCAAATAAGCTCAAGGAACAGAGAATCTGACCATTACAGTCCTCTGTGGAGAACACCATGGAATGCTGATTTTTTTTAACCCATCACACTGAAAAAGCACCCTTTTGCATCTGTGAGATGAGGTTAGACGACGGCCAGTTACAACTCTAAAATTTGGCATATGACTACTTCCAGAGGGATAGCTTACAGCTGTGATTCTTGCTTTGCAGATGAAAATATTTAAGAACAAAACATACACACAACTTGGCAAAGGCGAATATATGTTTGTAATTCTCAATAAATCAACGGAAATAGCTACATTATTACATATCAAATAGAGTTTCAATAAAATAGTCTATTGAAAATTTTTAATCTTTCAAGTTCAGTTACTTTCAAATTTTTAAATAATTTTATTGCCAAATTGTCTTCTCCTAATGACAGAAATCATCTAAATCTTCTATTTTTTCTTT